TTTTTCCTTAAAATGTTATTTATTTATTTACTGTCTATTTCTCCAGAAGAAGTAAGCTTCACTAAGTTCCCAGAATTTAACACAGTAACACGCACATAATAGGGGCATGTCATATAGAGCTACTAAACAATAAATAAGTGAATAAAGGCTGGACAAGAGACGCTTTATGTAAAGTTCTAGTGGCATATGAAGACATCGTATGGGACTAACATATAGTTCCTTTTTAAAGGCAAGAACTTTGGTTCACACAAAGTCAAATGACCACCATCATTGCATCATCAGTATCACTCTTATGGTTGGTGTAACCATATGCACAGGAGCAAACAGTATAGACTAAAATGAGACTTGGAGTTGTTCACTGAGAGCTAAGCAGTTTGGCATTGCTTTGAAAGGGTCAGGGATTCATCATATTTTATTTCAAACTGAGTGGCCCAAATTCTCACCTCTATACCTCCATCCACAGTCATGGCTGCCGTATGATGAATGCCTAATTCACATCTTTAGATTTGTTTTGTAAAGCTCTTGGGTCTGTTTCAGTACCACTGAACTCAGTGCATGTCATTCTTTTAAAAGCATTTAATGGAAGATTTCTCATTCAGAGCAGAATCTTTGTCCATTGAAGACTAATTGCTTTAGTGGTGTTTTGAGACATTAAATAGTTTCATTTAGGGGAGAATAAAAAGTTTCATCAACTAGCAATAAAATCAGAACTCGTTATATCAACTATAGAGTGAATTCCTGTCAGTGTCCAAGTCAGAGGCTTAGGTGATTATTACATGTTTCAGATTTGGGTGTACATGTTTGCCCTCAGATGGAAAGATCTCACAGTCACACAGGATTCTCACATTCACATGCTTAAAAACATTCTGGCTATACCTTTTTCACATTGGCTGCCATGGAAACCAGCTAGGCAAATGCACTGTCCACTTGCTGCATCACAATTGGCTCCATTTTTGCAGTCTCAGATGTGAGCACAGTTCAAACCATAAAATCCAGGAAGGCATGCTAGAAAATGGAAATGTCAAAATGCTATTTCAGCTCTAAGAATAAATAAGGGGAAAATTAGAGGATATGTTCTAGGTCATTTGTTTCCCAGGACCAAGAAGGAGATGGGAGCAGAGAATTGGAAGGCAAGGAAAAATTTCATGGAGAGGCATGTTGCTAGTATTTCAGTCATACAGATAAGTGACTATTTAAGTGCCATTCCCCACAATGAGTCTGGAAAGGTCCAGAAGAAAATTTAAAATATCTTCAAGTAGATCAAATTTATTTGCTATGATGTGCTATAGTCTGACAAACACTTCACCAAAACTGTCTAATAACCTAAACGCCTAAAAGAACCATGTTTTCAAACTTCATATGCAGGCGAAATTTAGTGAGAATTTAAAACTCTTTAAATAAATAAGATAGTGTCTGGGGGAGGTGATTCATACAGCTGTTGATATTTGAAATTCTATAAGTGGATGACAGAAGCGGGTGTGATGGGGGCAGGTAGGGGGAGAAAGAAGGAGAAAGGGAGAAGAAAACAGAGAAAATATGATGCATACACAGTAGGTTCACATCTTATGAAGCAGTTACATTTTAAAGTCAGTGAAATTTAATCTTTGGAAAATTTCCTAAATAGCCCATAGAGTACAAAAGAGAACTAGTTCTTAGTAAGTCCAGTGTGACCTGTCTTTCTTACACAGTTGGAGAAGATCAATACTTTTGTGGCTGAACATCAGAAGTAATCGGTTTAGATTTAGGGACCATGTGGTCCAAGCAAATGCATTTCTTCAAATGCTCAAATTGTCCTCTGCCCAGGGGATGCTCGCCTGAGGGAGGTACATGAGAGCCACATTTGACTGCAGACCAAGGATTCCCATTTCCTACCTTGAGTTTTCTCTGGGGTTGTGCTCACCACCCCCCAGCGGGACTAGAAGGGGCACACAGTTTCCTCACCCTTCAATTATCCTCTCTCTCTTGCTCTCTTTTTCTCTCTCTGTCCCCCGATCCCCCTTCCCCAGCACCTAGAGTTGGTTTTGCCGAGGCTTCACGTGGGTGACAGTTCTTCAGCATGAATGGAGCTACTCAGGACAGATCCAACATTCAGAAAAACAGAGAGTGGAAAAAGGAAGCCAAACCAAAACCAGATAAGGAATGAATGATTTTATATAGTATACACTCTTCCATTTTCTAATCTTATTTACTCTTACAAAATGAATAATAAAGAAAGATCCAGTGCAGGGTTTCTTCTGTTTGTTCTTGTACAATAGTTGTTGACAATACATTAAAAAGTCATATCTCCTTTATCTCCCTTATTTTAATTGTATATAAAACTGAGCTCATAAAGGTTGGCTTGCTTGACTTTTTCATTTGTCTAAATAATTCTCCCAGGTTGCTTGGCTTAGAACCTTGGAGTTAATTTTGATTCCTACATCATCCTCAGCTACGTGTCCAAATCAATTGTCAAATACAGTCAATTGTTTTTCCAAAATATTCTTCTGTTCATTCATTTCCATTTTGATCCCAGGATAGATTTTCGAAATCCCAGACTATCACTGCAGTTTCCTACATGGACACTACTAGTAGCTCCTTTTCCTCACAATTAATAATATCCCCATGTTACATGTTTATTTCACCAGAGTGATGTCCCTTGTCTGCTCAAAATCTTCCTTGATATTCCACTGCATGTAGGATAAAATTTATGGACCTTGAGTAGATATTTTTCCTTCTTTTGTATCTCTTACTCTAAGTTTGAAAACAAAACAAACAAAAACTACAAGACATTTGCTTCTACATTCTCTAATCCAAGAAACATCAGTGTGGTTGGCAAGAGAGCTAAACCTCGAAAGGCTTAGTAGGATTTGACAGTTGTCAACATCTAAAACTTAAATTAGAGCTTTGAAGTATGTTGCAGAAATATATATTAAAATGTTAGCGGTTTATCTAACTTGATATAATGGGAATGCATTACTTTCATGATTTAAAAAAACAGTTTTCAAAGCTTAAAACTTAACAGCACCACAACATGCACATTCATTTTCTTGGTTTACCATGTTCACAGTTTCTTCCATAATAACCTGGGAGGCACTCACAGCTTCCAGAAATCCTGTTGCAAATCCCTTTGTTCTGACACGTGCAATTAAAATGGCAGCCTGGACCATAATAACCAGGAAGACATACTGAAAAAGGACCCATCCAAGCAATAATTGAGTTTGTAACGAGTTTGAAGACAGAAAAAAACAGTAGAATTCATTTAAAAAAATAAAGGCAGACAAATCATTAGCCAACAAAAGCAAGGTAAAAAGAGAGAAGGCACCAATATACCCAATTTTTTAAAAATATGGAATGATTATCAAAATGAATAAATATAAAAGTATAATACAAATAAATATAAAAATGTAAATGAAATGGAAAAGTTATAGAAGACAATTTACCAAAATGGTCCTAATTTGAGGCAGAAAACCTCAACAGGCTAATTGTAATAGAAAAACAATAGAGCAAATAGTAAAATAGTCCAATTAAAAAAAAGCCCCAGCAATCCTAGGCTTCAAGGAGAAATTCTGTAACCTTTACAGTTCAGATAATCACCTTCCCGCTTACGCTGTTCCAGAGTATTGACAAGGAAAGAAAATTTCAAATACATTTTATTAAGTGAGTTTAACATCAATTCCAAAGCCTGAAAAAATGTGTAAAAATCTACATCTCAATTTTACTTATGGATTATCAATGCCACATTTATAAAAAACATAAGTACACTGAAATCAACAGCATAATTTTTAGTAACACAGCACAACTAAGTAGTATTTATTCTAAGAACGTAAGGTCTTGCAATAATATAAAAATTCATTGATAAATCCATCATATTTATCGGTCTAAAGAGAAAAATCATATTATTAATTTCATAAATGTAGAAGATACATTTGAACAATAATGCCATTAAAAATTGAGTAAAAGCATTGAATAAATTGAAAAATTAATAGCTATATCATTAAAATCCAGTGTTTTACTTATTGGAGAACAAAAAGCTTGAACAGATGGAAAAATAGACCATATTTATTCTTGAATAAGATGAGCTAATATCATAAATATACTAATTCTACCTAAAGGAGTAAACACAGGGGACAACAAAACAGTAAAAATCAAAAAACAAACAAACAAAAAACCTGACTTTTTTTTTTGCACCTAGACAATCTGATTATAAATTTCATTTGGGACAAATAAATAAGAATAGTACCAGGAAACCCCTGAAAAAGAAGAGCAGTGAAAGGTGGCTAGCCCTGTCAGTTTCAAATATATATAATAAAAGACTTCATATTAAAAATAGTATTGCATTTGCACAGAAATAGACAGATCAATAGAACAGAGCATCCAGAACCATACTCAACTGCATGTAAATGTTTAGTATCTGACGGATCCTGCATCTCAAATCAGTGGGGAACACAGACGTGTAAAAGCTGCATTATGATAACTGAAAAGCCATGCAAGGGGAAAATGGATCTATTCCTCACACCACATGCCAGGAAAAATATTTAAAATTGATCAGAGAATTGAATGTCAAAAATGGTGTCATACAAGTGTTAAAAGAAAACATGGTTGAATTCCTCTAAAGCCTGAGAATGGGGAATACATTTCTACTTATAACTCAAAAAATAGAGGGAAGAAAGATATATTTTATGACAAAAAGAAAAAATCTTCTGAATCACGCAGAATCTGTAATCCAAGATGCTCTTAATGAAGAACATGTTCTAAGATGATTCACACCCTTGTGTTATCTTCTCCCTGGTGGAATCCGAGCTGAATCCACGACGGGCTAGAACCAATAGAATGTGGTGGCAGTGATATTACATCACTTCCCTATCTTAAGGAGGCCTGACAACTTCTGTTTTAAGAGGCCAGCTGTCATGTAAGAAACCCAATTATCCAGTTGGAGAAAAAAAGCCATGCAGAAATGGTAATGGTCAAGATGTTGGGGTAGAAAGACCCTGAGTTCATCTCCTTCCATGGGCACACCAAAATTACAACTATTTACAGTGTAAATAGACAATTAATAGAAAAAGAAATGCAAAAAGTCCTTACCCATTAGAGAAGATGCTGAACATTATTTATAATAATAAAAATGAAAATTAGAACTCCACTAATACATTTCTCACCCAAATTTTGATAACATACTCTTTTGATAACCCTGCAAGGAAACGGGCATCCTATGTAAAGCTTATGAGGCTGCAATATGGGACAACCCCCCATGGAAGAGAATTTGTCAATCAGTTGCAAAATTACATTTGTCTTTACCTATGACTCAGTAACTCTTGTATGTTTGAAAAGTTCCATAATAAAAAGTTTAAATGATAGAGTCAAAAGTTAAAATGTCCCACATCCCAAAATGATAGAGAATTATCCAACTTAAAGTTAAAAACAAAACCAGTGTGAACACATCTATTCCAAACATACTGCCATTCTTCTCATTTTGTAGTCCCAAATGTCACAAAATTGATAGGAGCTGGCTCCCATGAATTAGGGAGGGTATCCACACTTGAAAAACATTCCATGAAAAAATGGTCTTAAATGTTAGATTTAGAAGAGATGTCATTCCAAAGTGCCATCATCCTGACTTTCAGGCGGGAAAATCATGGAACGGTTGTGAATTAACAGAAGCACAGAGGATGGTATCAGCGGAGCGAGGCTTGGCATACGGGGCCATCTGCTCCCCCTGCAAGGGGCTTTCATCTGTGCTGACTTTCGTGACAGTCAGATTAATGGTGAAGGACGGGGGTAATCACACCCATGTGGGAGCAGGTCAGGGCGGCAAGCCTGAAGAGCCAGAGCCCCCAGAGTTGGAACCATCTAGGTAGAAGTTCACTGTGGATTATTTTTCACTCAGGGTGCCCCAAGTTTAGGCCCCAACACGGTGTTCTCACCCACGCTCTCCCTCACTGCCCTTTCTGGCTTCTTTGGCCAAAATACAACACTATCTCCTGCAATAGTGTACTCTAATTAGGATGCACGCTTTCCAGTGTTGTACAAAATAATCTATCATGGTTCCAAAAGGAAGCAGTAGAACAGCTTTCAGTATTTATCTTTATATATTCTTTATCACCTTAAACCTTTATAATACACATATGAATGGAGAAACACAGGAATGTCACTTTTAATACAAATACATTTATGACAGAGTGTGATTAAATTTTTCCCAAGGAGGTGGAGTTTGGAGACCTCTGCTCCCAAAGTCCTCCTCTCCACCCTCTGTAGCTGGGCCCAAGCTCCCGGTGAACTGGCTCTGCCCAGGGCCCTGCATCCTCCACCCTGCCCTCCTCAAGCATTGGCTGGAGGGGGAGTGGGACTGAGCTCTCAAAGGAGCTCTTTCATATTAATACTATTTCAATTACTTAAGAGTTTTAAGAGTTTTCATGTGGTATTCTGGTAACAAGGTAACAAAATCAATCAATCAATAATAACATAACACTATTTTTACTGGAAATGCAATCATAGTTACAAACAACTTGCGTAGACTTATTGGAAAATAGCCTCTTCGCAGGCCTCTTCTATATTTTATCAACCATCGGCAGTCTGCTGTAGATCTGTGCTGAATGAAAGAAGGTAATCATCAACTTACCTTTGTCACAATCATCTCCTGTCCATCCAGGGGCACAGTGGCAGCTTCCATCCACAGGATTGCAAAGGCCACCAGTTTTACAAGTACATTTTAACTTACAACTGGGGGCATCCTGTAGTAAAAATAAAAAATAACAAGCTGCATAAAAATGTCCCATAAGCAAACGTTTTTCTCTGTCTCAGGGACAGTAATCATTTCTACATAGCAAAAACATTGTTTTTAATGTTCAAATTAAAACAAATTAACCCATCAGCTGTATCCTTCACGTGGTAGCACGTCACTGTCATTCATTCATGTTTTCATTCACTCCTATAATATTGACCAAGCTCATAACTATGTACTCTGGGAACTGGAGATGCCCTATAGACAAACAGAGGTCAATCCCAGATTGGCAGTGGGAAATTTTATGTATTTAATCTCATAATCAATAAAGAAGACAGATGAGTCATTTGCTTCTTCATGTCTCTGTGCTGTAATCCGAAAAACACTTCAGCACAGAGTAGTGGGTGACACAAACAAAAATGCACTAGCAAGAGGAGCTAAGCTACCAGTGAGAGAAGCTGACCAGACGTAATGGAAACTGAGCCTTCATTGTCACGGAGGAATAACTGAATGACAGGACGTACCAATGGGACAGTAACCATTACTTACTTGGTTTTGCCATGAAAAATATGGGCCTGATATAGCCAGCTAATATGATTTTTTTTTCAGGAAAACTCAAAATCCATATTTTATATGAAATCATCCAATATTTGAAAGCTGGCAACTAATTAAAATTGTTTTATGGCACTGTGGAAGCCAAAATTATGTCAGCCAAACCAAACACATTTGCGGCTAGATTTGGCCAAAGGCCTGCCATTTATATCCTCCAGTTTATAGTATTTTTACATAATGATATTTTCCACATGAATTATCTCATTTAATGCTTACACATATTTCTCTGATGTGGGTAACAGTATTCTTATTTTACACTTGAGAAAACTGAAGCTGAGGAACTGAAGTCTTGCTCAGGCTTAAGCAGCCAGTAAAGATAACCAAGATTCAGATCTAGAGCTTCTGACTTCTCATCACCTATTCTTTCTATTTAAGCTAGCAGGAGAGACATTAGAGAAAGAAACACAATTTAGCTTGCCCCAGAGCATTTGGTTAATATAGAACAGAGCACGTACTTGGATTTAATTTGCATGACGCTTTCTTTCTTGTCTTTATTTAACTAAATAGGTGTGCTTAACTTTAGTATCAAGTGAAAGAAGCATTTTGAGTTCGTTTAGCTAAAAAAATACAGTATGGCTGTACAGTTAATGGCTGAATCGTCATCATATATGCTTTTGGTTTTTTGCCTTTAAGGCAAATTAAACAGGATCAATGATACTAAGTCTTATACCATTAAAATAAAATTTCTTTTTCTCTCCTTCACCTTTCTAAAACAGCCTAACCAGCCAAGAGGCCTGTTCATTTTCCAACCTGAATGCGGAAATGCATTGTTGAAGCTGCTGAATCTATGAAAGTATGGGACTTCAAGATAAGACTTTGGACAAAAAAAAATAACTGGAAAAGTGAGGAGCACTTAGAAATGTTTCTTTCCACAGGTCTAAGTCTCAGAAAAAATATTCACACAGAATTGTGCAAATAACTTTACTGCTTTCTGAAAGTTATTGTTGGGATGGGGGTGGGTAATAGCTCAGTGGTAGAGCATACGCTTAGCATGCAGGAGGTCCTGGGTTCAATCCCCGATGACTCCATTTAAAAAAAAAACTTTAAAAAGTTATTGTAATTACATGTTAAATATTTCAAACAGTATATAAAGGTATATTATGGAAAAAAGTTCCATCCTTGTGCCCTGGTCTTCCAGTGTTCCTTCAAAAAAAAATCATTGTTATCAGCTTTTTTCTGTATCATAGGCCTCACTTCTTTCAAAGAGAATTAATTACGCTGACCACTTGATTTAAAATTTCAACCCACCTGGCACTCTCAAGCCCCATCTCGTGCTCTTTTTCTCCCTCTTACCATAGATTTTATTCCCTGTTAACATACATATAATTGACTTATTAATTATGAAAACGGGCACTGTTGGATATTGATGCCATGACTGCTGCGTTATTTTTGCTCCATGTGCTTGGTGTGTCTGTCCCCATTTATTTAGCTTCATTTTATTCTGGACGCTGTTTTTCCTAGGCTAAGGTGGGTGTTATTTCTCTCTTGCTGTTTTCAAGATTTTTTTCTTTTTTCAGAATTCCAAAGTTTGATGTTGATATGTCTTCTGTGGATTTCTTTCGGTTGATCCTGTTCGGCATTCACACAGATTTTTCAATTTGTATGTTTACAGATTTTTTTGGTCATCTTTAGGACATTTTTAGCCGTCATTCCCTTGACTTCTTTTTCAGTATTGCCCCCTTACATCTCCACCTGGACTCTGATGACACAAATGCTCGAGCTCTTCTTCAGTCCTGCAGACCCCCAAGCTCTGTTCTTCTTCTTATTATTATTTCTTTCGTCATTTTCATTTCCCTCTCTGCTGTTTTGATTCGGTAATATCTGTTTCATCTTTGAGTTCACTGATGTGTTCCTCTGTCCTCTCCATTCTGCTGTTAAGCCCAAACATTGAGTTTTGTTTAAAGTTTTGGTTTTTGTATTTTCCAGTTCTAAAATTTCTCCTTGGTCCTTCTACATGTCTCTTATTCTTTGCTGAACCTTCCTATTTAACGAAAAAATTGCTTTAGGTATGTTCAGAGCTGCTCACTGAATTGTTTTTATGATGGCTTCTTTAAAATTCTTATCAATTAGTTTTAACATCAGTGTCATCTGAGTGTTGGTGTCTGTTGATTATCTTTTTCTTATTCAAGTTGGAATTTTCCTGGTTGTTGACAGAGTGAATAAGTTTGGAATGGACCTGGACATTCTGAGTATTATGGTATGAGACTCTGGATCTTGTTTAAATCTTCTGTTTTAGCAAGTCTCTTACGATAGTACACTGGCAAGGAAAGAGGTCCATCTGTTAGAGGCTGAAGTCCAAGTTCCCCACACAGTCTCCAAGGGGGAGCAAGGGTAAGTGTGTTTCGTCTCTGCTGGGCCAGGGCCCGAGCCCAGGCTCCCCACGAGGCCTCTGCTGACACTCCCTGAAGGGTAGAAGGGCCGCCTTATGGCTGCCACTCGACTTCCATGGACGCTGGTGGCCTTGCTGCTGCTTGGTGGCTGTGAGTCCTGACTGTCCCCGCAACCTCCTCGGACACCACGCTAGCATGGAGCAGTGTGGGCTCCCTACCATCTGGTAGAGGCAGAGGGTCGTGCCTTCCACGTGGTTTCCACTGTCACTGCCATGGTGGCGGGTACATGCCCACCTGGCAGGGATGGAAGTCCCAGCTCCACCAGGCCTGCTCTCACTCCATCCTGGTGCAGGGCGCGGGGCCCTCATACACCCCAGTGGCATCTGAAGGGTAGAATCCTCACTTGGCCTTTGCTAATGGAGCTGGGGTGGAGGAAACGGTTTTAGTCTGTTTGCTGGGAATAGACCCGTTATTGTCTAAGAGTTTCCTGTCTTGCTTGGCTGCCCTTTTCCTGATATTTTAACTAGAGAAAGCAAGCTGACCTTGGACCTTTTTCTATCTGCACCCATTGACCCTTCTGGGTTACAGCCTCTCTGGCACCCAGTCCAGAGTATGAGACAAGAAAGGAAACTCAGCGAACTCATCATCATGCTGACCCTAGGTCCCCAGAATTGTAGCAGGTCTGCTGTCTTCTCTCCACACTTCAGAGTTCATATGTTTTCAATATAGTGTCTAGAATTTTTACTGTGTTTAGAGAAAGGAATAAGAAAATGGGTGTGTACTCCAGTTTTTCTAAGTGCAAGTCTTATAATTTTATGTAATCTTGAGACTCTTCTTTAGACAGTACATTAATATAATGAATTTATTTGTTTAGTATCTGTTGACTCACCAGTATGAGTGGTGATGGAATTAATATGCTTCTGCTTTCTCCAAATTTTTCTTATTCCTCTTTTCCCCTGATTTTACTGGGCTGTATTTTTTATTCTTACATTTTCAATGACAGCATTCTGAATTCCAGCATTTATCTTTATACACTTAAGCCTACTTACTGAGTTGCCACATTTAAACAGTATGTTTTGACACAGATTTGTCCCTCCCATCCCACAAACTGTAATAAAGAAATAAGAAGATCCACATACTTCAACTCATCTACCTTCTCTTCCCTTTCAGCTTATGCTCATGATGCTAAAACCTCAATGTTGTTATACTGTAAAATGCTTATATATTTATATAATACCAGGTAACCATAATTCTTATATTTGTTTTAAACTCAGCCTCAATTAAACTAGATTTAAGTCACTAAACCTCTTTTTACCAGAGATTTTTCATTTTTTTCATTTGGTTGTTCAATTTATCTTCCAATGGTTTCTTCAAAACATTTTATGACTACTGTATTCCCAGCAGCTTTTGATAATGAAATGTTATTGTTTATTTTCCATCATGTTCTACTCGAATAACAGTTTAACTGTATATAAAATACTTGAGTCATAGCTCTTCCCTAGAACTTTGTAGGCTTTGATAGCCATAGGCTAGCAATCAATACTGCTGTGAGGTATCAGGCCAGACTGACTTTCCCCGTCTCTTCATACGAGATCTCATGTTTTTTCTTAAAATCGCAATAGAGTTTCTCCTCGCTTACGATCAATCCTAACTAGTATTTTTAGGGATAGAAATGTACTCTATCAATCTATAGCATCAGATCTTCTTTCATTTTGGGGGAAAAAAAACCTTGATTACATTTTAATATTTTCTTTTCCATTTATATATTTGTCTATTTTTTTCCATTTCATTGTTCTCACTTTCTTGAAATTTATTCTCCATGTACATGGCTGTCACATCAGCAGATTCCACTCTCCTATTACCTGCGTTCAATGTGGTCTACATTTATATGATGTGAGGTTTAATTTTCATTTCCACTTCTTTCTGAGCTCTGCCAGATTACTTTTTCATTTCCCTTTGTTGTCTTTTCATTTATTCCATGAACCCTTGTATCTCTCCATTGCACTGGCAATTTATAGAGAACACTTTTTCATTAGGTCCTTCAAATGCTTGGAAGAAATTCTTGTTAATATTTTCATGAGCTCCATAACAAAACTTCTCTGCTCTCCATTCCTCTGCTTTTTGTTTGCTACTATATCCTTCTTACAGAATTTGCACTGAAAAAGCTTTGAATGGTTTTATATTTTGTCTCCAAGGTGAGGGGAGGTGTTTTTATGCACCAGTTTTTTTTTTGTTTGTTTATTTGTTTGTTTCAGATTAGTTTTTTTTGTGCACCTGCAATTTTTAGGACAGTATTACGGATTTGGAGCTAGAAAAATGATTTTAGCTATTAGGGCACCTCCTTGGCCCAGAGTAACACTCCATACACCACAAAAGCGTGGGATGTGCACGTACGCGTGTGTAGACTTGGACTGCCTTTAGCTGCAAGGTTACTTACAAACCATAGATTCCCCTCTACCCTAGTGAAGAGTTGAAAAGATAATATGTCTGTGCACTTCTTGGTTTTATTCCCATTTTAAAACTGCCACTCTGTGATGTCCAGTGGGGTTCAAGAAAGTTTTTGCAGCCTGCTCACCCACCCAACTCTTGATTTTCAACAAAAGGTCATTGACTTTGCCCCTTTGTGTGTGCCATGCAGAAGTGGCCCCTCTGCTGGCCCCACTCCAGAGATACTGTCAGGCTCAGCTTTCTCTATGCACGACTTGTCATTGAACTTGACAGTTCTTCTGTTGTGATTACGATGATGACGACAAAAAATAATATGAGTTAGGACAAGAAAGTTTTGCAGTTTTAAACAAAAATCATGGTTTTTTTTTCTCTCTCTCTCTCATTGCTCTTAACAGCTTTCAGTGGGTTTCTGAAAATTGAAGATATAAAGCTCTTCGGTTCTTGTAATTAGACACCTTCAACACACAACCTGAGGTAATTTTACAAAATTTAGCCAAAGTTATTTTAAAATTTGCTCCTACTCAACAATATGTATGAACTATTCTTTGTTTTTGTTTTCAGTCTTTGTTTACCCGTGGTAGACTAGTTCCTGAATAACTCTGCAGGAGCATGCACTTTCCTGTTATTAAAGCCACACTTACGAAGAAAGTGTTGTAGACAATGCCCGTTTAATTCTACTCCCTGGCACCGCATCTGCCTTCAAAGTTAAGCTTGGTAAGTGCCTGGATGACCAAGGTGACCGTGTGGTCATTGTTACCTGGCTGACACCTGGCTCCCATTTGGCCAGGTGGACACTGGCACCCTCCAGTCACTGGGTCACACTGTCCTGAGCCACAGGAACACCGCTGGACACAGGCCTGTCCATAGTAATCTTCAGGACAAACTGCACAAAGGAGCAAAACAAAGCAGAGCAAAATGAAACCAGGTTTTGCTTCTTAAAACATTTCTCAAGTCAAGATTTTTAAAAACACGTTATTACATGACCTTTTCTTTTAATCAAATAGGCTTCCCTGACTTGCCTCCCATTCGGTTTTCAATTTAAAGTTACTTTGTAAAGAACAAGAGAAAAAAGGAACTGTTTAAATGGTTGCTTGCTTAGTGCAATTTTAGTTGACATCAGGAATTCCATCCAAATACCTAGTGTCCAATACTTACATATGTATTATGATATAAATGACGCTTATAGACTGAGTCTTGCTTTACTGCATGGCTATCTTAGCTTGTGTGTGTGTGTGTGTGTGTAATAACCTTGAGGACGTCTCCTCTTAAAGTCTACTATGGAATTTTACCTTACACTTCTGTGCACTGATACAGGATGCATTATGCTCATATCTCCAAATATTTATTTATGTATCTATTAATTTATTTGTAACTGTATTGTTTATTGACTAAAAATCAATAAACTTGTTATATTACCTTTAATAGATGATATCTATTAAATTAATTTATTACGTGATTTATTCATAAATTAACACAGAATTGTTTGCTTTGCTGCAACCTGATTCCACAACTTCATTGAGACGCTTTTACCAAAATACAGATAAAACACAGAAAAAGTAGGTATATGTGAGAATCAAGTGAAGAGAAAATACAGTAACTGTTTATACACAAATATCGTAATTCTTTGAACTTGCAAAAGGGGGACTGCAAATTTGGCTCTGACCTCTTTAGCCATCAAAGCAAAGAAGGAAAAGTGCTCTGATACAAGGTCACAGCTTTCTGAAGACAGAACTGCTCCCAAGATTCAGGGAAGCCATAACTTTTGAAGATGCTTTGGCCTAAGGAAATTCGAAAATTTCTCCAACCATTCTCTATGAAGAACAAAACACACAGGAGCCAGTCAGAACCTTCTTTGGGAGATGTTTATGGGTTGGCTTTCACTCAAAGATAACTTGGCCGTTGAGGCCTCAGAGGCCGTATCCACTAGATTTCAATTTTCTGCTACTTAGAGCCAAGACTGATTCATCTTTTATCCTCAGAACAGAGGAGGACTGAAGCAGGGGAATTAAAATTACCCTCATACAAAACAGACAAAGCAACCACCTTCCTGTGGAAGGGAAGCATCCTGGATATCCCTAACACAATGATTTAGTTCCCTGCCTGATCAAGACTTCATTATCCTTCTTCCAATAAAGGAATCTCAAGTCCACAATTACAGTCCTATCTTTAATTCGAGATCTGTTGATGATTCTTTCACTCTTTTCATTGTGAAGTACAAGACACAGAATAGTACACAAAAAACATAAATGCTCAGATCAGTGACGGATCACAAATTAAACATTCTCTTCAGCAAGACATAGGTCAAAGAACACAACACTGCCAGGCCCATCCCCACCGTGCACTCTCCTCGTTGCCTCTGCCATCCTCCCTGAAGATCATCCTGACCTTGCAAGCTGTCCAAACATTTAGAAAATCGCAGATCTGATGAAAGCAAAATGTATTTGCTAAGGATAGCCCTGCAATGTCTAATCCCGCTCATTTTTAAGGAATCTTTAATTTATATTGGGTCCCTTAAACTTTATGTCAATAGTTGTTTTTATGATAGGTAGTTAAGGTCTTCAGATTTTTGGGAACTGGTTATTTATTGGTAAGTAAGGAAACTACTCAATTTTGAGCTGGAAAATTACTAAGGATAAATGAAATTGTGGAACTTTGGACAATGAGTTTGACATTGTGCATGTAGGAATCTCCAGTCTGCTCTGATCTTGCCAAACAGATTTGCCAAACAGATTTTCTTATCCTGGCTTGAGTCCAGCATTGCTGAGGCAAGAGAGATTGTGACCAAAGGGCTCTCTTTGGCTGCCTTCACTGACTTCAGCTCTCAATCAAACTCCTGCTGTTAGTACTCATCAACCTAGAATTTAGGTCAGTTGGTGTTTGCTGTTATTGCAATTATCATGTAAAATAAATGCAACAATATTTACTCTGTACATGCAGTTCTTAAAGACTCTGCAGCTCTCAAAACCTCTGCTTTTACCATATAGCAAACTTAGCATATCTACTTCATAGGAGGTAGAATGACTTACTTTGACTGCAGTCGGCCCCTATGAAGCCAGGAGGGCAGTCACAGGTGCCAGTCACAGTGTCACAGCTGCCACCATTCAGGCACTTACACTTCCTTTGGCAATATGGACCATAAGTGACATTTGGGCATCCTGTTGAATGAAGGAGAACAAAATTACATGTGATAATGTAACTTGAAACAACCAGTGTTTAAATTCATGCCTATAGACATGTGGTTAACTCAACACTCCAATTACTGTTCTTTAGTATTTTCAATTACCTTCAAGCTATTGGTTCAAGGCATGGATGTATCTGAGGATATGAGCTGATATAGATGGATGCCTTGGAAATATAGAGGGGGATATAAAGTTCCTGATGCTGTTCATTAATAAGATATAGAATTCTTAACTTTGAGCTTCCTTGGACATCTATCTACTTTTAGAGAATGCTCAGAATAAATACCAAAGAAGTCTATTTCATTCCAGCTCAGATAAATTCATGATTTCAATTAATGCTTAAGTGTTATAGATTGTTTTACCTGGATTGATCTCGGTTTAATGCCAGTAAGTATTCAAAATGGCAGCAAGCATAGAGGAAGCATCTTCTCAGTTTTCTACTGTCATATCCATGGATGTATGACCTACCATGATGATACCTGTGTAAGAGACAGATAAACGGCCAGACTTTATTATAAAAGGAGACTGAACAAGGCAAAGAGTGACCTAAAGACCACATTATCTGTGCAATGATTGAAAGATTGGGGCTGTTTAGCTAGCCAGGAGAAAATCGACCTAAGAAGATAGAACTTGTCTTCAAACATGGAAAGAAAGTCTTATAGAAAAGGAGGAAGGCAGATTTTATCTCAGTAAAGAACTACTTTCTGAAGGGGCTGTCCAGGATTGGAATAAGGCTTTTTCAGGAGGTAATGAGTTACTCGTCCTTGTAGGAGTTCAAGCAGAGATAGGATAACTACCTAGCAGAGAAAAGGCAGTGGGGATGCAAGCACTTGATTAACTTTGAAGCATGTCCAACTGTGACCTTCTCCTGTTCTATGAAATGTCTTATACTTTGAAGTCTTAAAATCATAGAAGTTTGTTTCAAGAGAACTCAGACCCATCTGGTTCAACTCTTATTTCAAGATAAAGAAGTTGAAGCCTTCATGGTAAAGTGACTTGAAATAGTTACTGCACGAAATCCTTTCACCTGTTAAAGATCACCTTCCTTATTCTTGTCATATATTTAAAATATAAGGCTGTAGGAAGTTCTGAATAGACTTTGGTTTGAACCCTATATCTTCTACTGGCTAGTGCTGTGGCCTTGAGTGAGTCCTTTATTTGAACTTCTGGGTCTTCATTCCCAAAGGGGATGACAACAGAATCCCAGGCCCACATGTGCACGAGTAGAGCATCTAGCTTATTGCCAAACTCAGACAGCTCCCGAGCGAGTGGTAGACATTATTTTCATTCATGGTGGCAGGATCGCTGGTGGACATATGGCCTTTCTGTACCTGCCTGCTTGAGTCCAAAGGTGTGGTATTTGCCTTAAGTCCTTCCTCTTGGAATACATTTTCACTTGGAAGCACAGCACTAAAATTGACTGAACTGGAGACTAGACGACACTCGCTTCCTCCCCTTTTATCTTGTATTTTCAGGTAAGAATCAGATGGTGCAGAACATTTTTGAGTATTGCACATGTAGCAGGCTTTAGAGGTTTAGAAGCCGAAGAATGGTTTTTATTGAGATTCAGATTGTTTGTAATCCACATGTATACCCTGTCCTAAAGCCCACGGTCTCACCTTGAGTCTCAGACTCAAAGAATGGCTTCTTCTTCTCTCCCTTCTCTTTGAGTTTTAAAATGAAATTCTCCACGATGGAGATGAAAGCCAAACACCTAAAATCACTTCTTACCAAGGGCTATTTCTCTGTTGTAGCTGCTGTATTTCTTTATTTCTTTCTATGAAATTGATGAGTGCATTTCACATTCTCTTCCCTCCCTCCAAGGGATGTCAGTTCTCACAGCAAAGGAACCCTTCTTTGGTACAGCATTCTTTAGTCCTCCTAAGGAGTTATTTTTCTCCCTCACAAAAATTCAATAGAGTATACCTAAAAACTGACTAGTGATTAAAAAAAGAGTATCTATCTTCTCTTCTCTTGTTCACCAAGATCTAAAATGCTTTCATGTTGATCTGGGTCAATCTTTTAGAATGTAATTTTTTTAAATCCCTTTTTTTAAGTTATTTTTTATGGAAGTACAGTTTTTATCATTACTATGTGTGATGCTTAAAAAAGAACGTTTAGTTGTTTGATATTAGAGAAAATACAAAGCAAGCTAAAGGTATGTAGTGTGAAACAATGAAGTCTGGTATGTACTGCCAGCATGTTGGTTCCAAAAAAGGAGGTTAAATTAAAGAGTTGACTGGTATAGAAAATGCTGTAGACGCATAACTGGGAAGTGAAATGTGACATAAACTTTTGTGCAAATGGGGAAAAGGGAAACACTTGGTAAAGTGAAACTTATATACTTATTAATGAGGAAAATATTAAACTGTGGACATAATGATGGGTATAAAAGAATCAGAATCTCAGTTAAAAGGTAAAAAGAGTTATGTGTAATTATTGGATGAATTTATATGACATACATGTAAAAATCTGTATTTTGAGACCATTTTCATTTGAGTTGAAGTTACTTGGAATACATAATTTCTCTCTGACATACACTCATTTTTCAAACTATCTGAATGGTGGTTTTGCATTTGATAAAATCATTCCTTGCTGTTCCTTCTTGGTATATAGCCTTCAACTTAATTATCCTTTTGAAACTGGGACACTGAACTTGATGCAATTAACCTACTAATGAGTATAACATTTGTTGAAAGACAGTATATGCACTAACCTCTTGGTCCCACAACTCGTTAAATTTATATGAAAATACGGTATGTGTTTACGAAAGTACGCATAACTTTTTTCCCCAAGAATAAGTTATTTCACTAACAGTTCCACTTTCTCATATAACCCTGTAGCTACATGAAAGGTTGACTTCTGGAATCATGCACACATCCCTTGCTCAGATGTTCACTAAATTTAACAAGGAAACGCACGCCCAGGACGCACTGATTTCACTTGGCTTGTTTGAGTGTGTGGTCTCCCCTCCTTCATTTCCTAAAGTTCCATTTTGATCATTACTTGGCCTTTGCTCTATTCTTTACAATGATTTCTCCCAGGAAAGTTTGTTCCTCTAGCAAGGGATATTTAGTTCTTTTCCATTAGAAATTTCCGATTTTTCCCCAGCCTTGCACCATCCCTTCTGCACGAAGGAGACTGACTAGGAAGAAGCTTGGAAATGAATTCACAGTTCTGATTTCTTTAAATATTAAAGGCTAATGATATACCATGATGATGTGAGTGACACTTGGTAGTTTTATTAGGCGCTTAAAACAAGCAAGGTTGAAACTGTATCCTGAGACACAGTTCAGAAGCAAATGAAAAGCATGAATCTGTTTTTCACAGTCTGTTTTCCTAGCAGTACTTGACCAGGTTACTCACACATCCACCAGCCACAGTTACACAGTTTTGTTTTATTCTTACAAAGAGATGCTAAGATTTGGTCTGTCTGAATTTTTAATGCTAGGAGCCAGAGCATGAATGCCAAGCTTCCATGCAAATGTCTTGACATCCTCCTCCTGGCACAGATGAGCTATCCTGCGGCCCATGTTTCTCAAAGCAACCTAAGCCAAGTGTAAGAGTGTTCTTGTGAATACTGTCAACAGACCTGCCTGTAGTTCTTAGAGGACTCCAGTGCCTTATATCCTCTCAAAATGGGGTCTAATAAATAGTGTGCAGGTTGGAGAAAAAGAAGATGTCCATATTCTGTAGTCACTTTACAGTTTCCCGTCAGCCAGAAAATGCACAGCATGGTGAGCTGCCATCTACCGAGCAGCCTGTCTGTGCTTGCCCGCACGCCGGCCACAGACGGGGACTGACCTGCCCATTACGAACCGTGGACAAGCGGTGAGATTCCTACTGCGAGTTTGTCTGCTTCCTCTGACCGCTGCCTTGAGAACATTTTGATTCTCCACTCGGAACTTGAGAACATGAAAGCCGGGTTGTTTTTGGCTGCTGAAACTTTTGCTCTTGCGCCAGCTACACCTTTTATGGATATTTTCTTGAACCCTTTTTCATTGTCCTGTAATTACAGTGGATGTAGCCAAGGAACCTTTGCAGCAGCTTCCAACCACGTGTTGCCTGGAACCGAGCCCATCTGACTAGTCAGGGAGCGGCTCCCGGCCTCAGCTTTGCTTTTACAAGGTGAAGCTCCCCTCCTGCAACCCAAGGTAGCTCGCCTTCAGGAACGGTAGTACCACCAGCTTTCTGTAACTTCATTTCCTTTAATTCAGATGAAAATATCCTTGCTCTCAAGAAGAAATTCTTCTCGAGAAATGTGACAGAATCAGATGGGAGGAAGTAACTCCTTTCTTCCACTACGAGGGTGCTTGAAATTTGCCATGACCAAAAAGTAATTGAAATTTTACTCATTTTATATTTTAGTTCTTCATTTTAAGTTTGAATAACGCAACGGTTATGGGTTCTGTGGGTGTATGAAACCATTTTCGTACACGCGTTATTGTGTTTTTAGCTGGTATTACTTAACATTGGGACAAATGTGAGAAGTGATATTCAAAATATATATCTATGGCTTGTAGAAAATGAAAACTAATATCTTGACCATAAGTCTATGTTTTATGGATGGCGTTTTTTGGAGGGGATCCAAAAATCATCCTTAGACGTGCAGAATTAGGAAAGGAAAGAAGAAAAAACCATCTGCTGTAGGAGCGACCAGGGAGGAGAGAGAGCAGCACTGGCCACGTTGGGGGAAAAACGAAACTGAGGCCAAATCATTTTATTCTTAAACCTATAAAAAGTACATTATAAATAATTACGAGCTTAAAAATTAAGTAGCTGACTGAACATTTTAACATGCTCCTTGGGACTTTTTATCGTGTGTTCTCCTGTAACCGTTTCGATGTTAAAATGTCCTAACAAATCAATATAAGGTGTTTGGTCCGAGGGACTACTCTTTTTTATTACACAACAATGAGCCAACTGGCACTCTGTCATTTAAGCAAGTCATTGTTTTTGTTCCAGAATAACAATTTGTTTAATTTGATTGTTCCTAAGCAGATCCTGGAACCGACTTACTTCATGAATCACTCGAAATATGTTGCCATTTGCTATGCATTGCTTTATAATAATCAGTATATATTTCCTTCTTTATTTATTTTTCTTTATTTCTTTCTTGTCTTTTTCTTGGGGATATTTTGAATAGAAAAGGCAAAACAGGAGAACGAGCTACACAGAAAAGTGTTTTCAACCATTCCACTAAAAATCCCCACAAGACTTGCTATGAATTAGAAGCTTGAATTAACATTTGCTCTTTAGCATTCTGAGTGATGACCCACCCTACCAGTGTCTCCACAATAAATTATAAACCAAAGCACAGAACACACTTACAGAGATGACAGCGGTTTCCATGGTAGCCAGGCAGACAGGTACATCTCCGGGTGACTGGGTGACACTCCTCATTCTCTGCTGGGCACTGACATACCTGTTTACAGTCCCTCCCATATGTGCCTGGTGGACAAACTAAGGGAAGGAGGAAATGTAAACCCAATGAATTAAATTTGTCTGTGTAAATATAGCTCTAAAAGTGAAAGCAGGGGGAAATTTATTAAATAAGACCATTGCCTACAGAAGTGTGCTGCCCTTTGGGATTTAGGTTTCATTAAATTTACTTGGGGATTACTTCACTGTTTGATTTTGTTTTGTTCAGTCAATTTGTGACCGACTGTCAAGGGCCGGCTGCAATTTTCTTGTCACTGAAGAAAATCATAGGGTGATGTCAGGTAAAATCAACTAAAATAATAGTATAATTCATGAGGGACCACATATCTGGGTAAAGATATTTTTTTCTGGTGCAGCCAGTTTAAATCCTCAAGGCTGTTTCTCTCTGCACATTAGCATGTACTGTATTCGTGTCACTTGTCAGCTTCTCTGCTGGTTCGTGCTGTTTTCTTTTTACAGGCCAAGCAGTAAAAGCTTTCCCTCCAACTTCTAAATAATATCGTGCCACTTTGCTAAGAAAATAGAAAGGCTTTCTCAGTATTTTTCAGCTTACAATATGGAGTCAAGTAGACATTTTGAGTTCATGGTTGTGTCTGATGACAATTCAAACAAATTCAGTTTAAAAAAATCAGACCATTTAGGTTACTGCAGACTTAAAGTGGAATAATAATTCCTGGATCAGCCTTTTAATTTAGCACCTTAGGGGTTTGGCAGCATGAAACAATAAGCCTTTTAAAAAGACCTCATACTGGAGAGGTTATTGATTGTCTTGTTCACTGCATCCATGTGTTTTGTTGGCTGTCCTGTGTGCCTGGGGTGTCATTTGTTTTCTTAGCATCACTATCCTTAAGAATATTTCATCTTCCAGTGTTCTTTTTAAGTAAAAAAATGACAGCAGTGACAGAAATTCTTACTTTAAGGGCCATTGGTTGTTTGCCTAGGATTAAAAACAAAAGACTAATGAAACACAAGGTGATGAATCAAAAAAAGGAGATTTTTTCCCCTCCCTATCTTGACTGAGATATGTACAAATAAGGGAGCACTGGGTGGAATCTGACTCAGCATCGGAACAGCTCATTACACAGTGTACTGCTGGTCTAGACATTCTTTTATCTAAGAATCACTGATTGTTCAAATATGTATGGTACAAGCACTTTCCCTGAACTTGCCAGGTATACCAAAAAGCACATCTGGCTTTGCTGTCTGAAAAGTTTATTGACTTTGTTAATAAGTGGCTATGCAAGAAAACTGATCGTGGCATCTCAGAGGTGACTGGGAGTGGGTGTTTGTGATATTCTTACTTCCATCACGTCATCGCCAGTAAACCCAGGAGAGCATCCCCTACGTTCCACTGTGACATGATGAAAGGTGCTCCCTACTGAAAGGCTCACAAACAATCGGAAAAATCAAAATGTATCTCATAAAGGCTTCCAGTAACTTTGGAAACCAAGAGCTGCACATATTACAAATTCTTCCCGTCACTGGGAAGACCTGTTTTTGCCAGGGGGTTATGTGAGCATGAAGCTTGATCCTCCCACAGCAAATACGGAGACAAAACCCTGTGCTCTGAGGAGATCAGTAACATGACAGGGTTTGTGTAGTAAGTGCCAATATCTCCATCTAATTAGCCATTTCCCATCTTGAGGTATGGGGCCAACTGGCACTGGGCTTTGAGGGGAGTGACATTCCAATGGATCTGCTCTGAGACACAGAACCATCATAAAGGTTGTGTGGTCTAGAGGAAATGGTGTGAACTTTGAGCCACTTGGGCCCAGCATGACTATGGACGTTGTTACTGACTTTAAACAGTTATTTAAGCTCTAAGACCCTCAATTTCCTCTTCTGTACAGTGTGATTAATAAAATCTATCTCATAGATTGCTATGAGGAGTAACCTAGTAGACATAGTGACATATAGGAATCTCATAGCACCTCAGTAAAGTTTGTTTCCTTTCCATTGAAACCCTTATATTTAAAATCAGAATCAACTTTTCAATAAAGATGCTGTATTTGGGCAAAAACCGTAGACACATTCAGAATAATATGAGGAAAATACCTAATATTCAAAGACTATCTTTACATGAGTCTGCAAGATTCTTTCAAAAAAAAAACTCATTGAAATCACATGAAGTTTCTGAAACACATGTAAGTAAAATTTATCCATATTCTCAATAATTGTACTGTATTTTGAATCTTCACTAAAAATAATTTACAAATGTTAACCACTTCTCCATCCCAAGAAGAGCTCAGGCATGTCCTTAGCTTTGATTCTTGAACTCCAGTGGAATCAAAATTGCAGAAGGTATAAATAATTACTCAGGAAAAATTGATCTCTTGAAGTTCTTAAAATTAGTTCTTAAATAGATGTTCAAGTGTCTTTGAAGGAATTTACTGAAAAGCAATAAAGTGAAAATGGAAATAAAAGCAAGAAAAAGCATTCTAAGTGTTATTAAAGAGAACTTTTGAGAAATATTAGAGTATTTCTTAGATTATATACACACGATGAAAAGTATCAATTGGTATCTGGCTAAATAATAATGACTTTGCCTAAGACTTCAGAGGAAAACAAAATTTAATGCAAAGCCTGCTTCATGTCCTCCGAAAGAGAAGGTGGTGTGTTGGTTTATTGCCCCATGATCCCAGATGGACTGCATATGGGGCATGCTTCCCACCCATCGTACAAGACATGCAGAATTCTGGAATGTTCTCATTCAGCCAAGAAATATCTCCTGGATACCTTCTATGTGCCAGATTCATAACAGTGAGCAAAAACAAACATGGTGCTGTACCCATCAAGCTTGCAACAGTAGAAAGAGAAACATGATAAAATGATCATTCAAAAAATGTCTAATTTTAAAATGTTATAAGGGGGTAGAGTGCTATGAGAGAGAACAGCATGAGGGACCCCAGCATGGATTGGCAGGCAGAGAATGGGCTGTGTTCAGTTCCAGGTGTTCCCTTTGAGGAGATCACCATTCAACAGATCTGAAACACTAGAGAGAACATATGTAGTGGGAAGGGGGAGAAGGAAAAAAAGAGTAGGAAGGAGAAAAAATTTCCAGAGGGAAAGCCCCAGACACACAGGAGTTACTGATACACTCCTAAACAGTGTGTTGGCAATGATACGTATATGCGTATGTTAGGCAGTGGTCAGGCTTACATTATTATAAATGTTTCCACGTTAGTTCCCTATGGCTGCTGTAACAAATTATCACAAATTTAGTGGCTTTAAAAAACACGAGTTTTCTATCTCACAGTTCTGGAGGTCAGACGTCTAGTATCAAAGTATTGGCAGCGCTGTGTTCCTTCTGGAGACTTGTGGGGAGGATCTGTCTCCCAGCCTCTTCCAGCTCCTAGAACCCACCTGTATTCCTTGGCTTGTGGCCACTGTCTCCCTCTTCTAGGCCAGCAGCTTAGCTGCTTCTTCCTACTCTGATCCTTTTTGATACCAGGCCAACCAGAAAAATCTTATCTCAAAATCCTTAACTTAATCACCCCTGCAAACTCCCATTTTGCATGTAAAATAACATATTGCATATTGACAGATTCCAGGAATTAGGACAAGGACATGGACATCTTTGAGGGTCCATTATTAGCCTACCATAATCTCTGCATTCCCGGGTGTTTTAAGCAGCCTGTAATTTATCCTTAGATATCATGCTATTACACAGACTTATGTTCTTAACAAGAGCCTGTTGCACAAGTCTTTACAGAGATCAATACAAATACTTTAAAAACTATATAATATAAAAATATATGGAAAATCTATGATCAATTATTAATTTTTTTATTCAATGGATCCAAAGATGAGTTTTAATATAATGTCACCTTGAGAATGGCTTGGGATTCTTGGGAGAAGGTCAGGAACCAGCAAGACCTGGGGAAGCAGCTTGAGTACCCAGATATACTTACAGTGAGACTCAGGAAGAAGGGACATTTCAAGGGCTAAAACTGACAGAAATAAAAGACTAAATGCAGATCACAGTGGAAGTTTCTAGACCATGAACTGCTTGCTCTTCTTAGTGCTGCAGGAAAATGGAGTGCAAGAGGATGGCATGTCCCAGGTCCCAGGCAGTCCCTGGGATGCGCCTCATCAGGTGAGGGTCCTTGGCTTCAGGCAGAAAAGAATTCAAGATTGAGCCATCGTAAAGTGAAAGCAAGTTTATTCGGGGAGATACACACTCCATAGACTGAGTGCGAGCTGTCCCGAAAGGCAAGAAAGAGAAAGGCAGCAGGTGAGAGCATAGGGTGTCTCAGAAAGACAGATCGGCCGCAAGGTGTGGGGGTGGTTAGTTTCTATGGGCTTGGTGACATCATATGCTAACAAATGTGAGGGTTATTCCAACCACTTTGGGGGAGGGGGAGGGACTCCCAGGAATTGGGCCACTGCCCACTTCTTGGCCTTTTATGGCCTCAGAACCGTCCTGGCACCTGCAGGAGGGCCATTTGGCAGCTGATAGATTACAATGAGCGCATAATGAAGCTCAAGGTCTCCTGGGAGTTGGCTTGTCCACCATCTTAGTTCTCACCAGTTTTTGCCCTGTCCTCAATTGCTGTGTCATTCTTTTTAAGGTTGTGCCCTGCTGCCTTCCTCCTGTCTCATTAGTGCTCTGTGGAATAACATTATTTTTCTGTTTAAAAAAAAACAAGTTGAGAGGCTCCCCTTGTCTACAGAACAGTGTTTGTTTTTATGTGTAAGGTCTCTTTTAAGCAGGGGTCACTGTGCACATCAGACAAGCAGACATTAACCACTTGCCCACATGGCAAATCAGTGGCAAGATTAGCAGCAAAACCACGGTGGCCTGAGGATGCGCTCTGGTCTTTTTCCCCACTCTCTCGGGGATTCTTCTTAGGAAGTGAGAAGGGTCCTAATTTTTTATAACATCGAAGAGTTTCCAAAGTTGAACACTAGGCCAAGTTGTGGCTTAACTTAGCAGGTAGGAAAATCAGCCTGGAAAGTTTAATGTCAAAAATTTCCTGTTCACCTTGTTTACTAATTAGCCACTCAAGCCCCTGAAGGAACTGTTCAAACCAGTTTGAAGTAACATAGTTGATACTTCGTTCTAGTTGAAATCATTCTGGACAACCAAAGGACCACAAAACTTCCGTGGGTGGCTTCTGTGTAGATTTAAGTCCTCCTCCATATTAAAGCTATTTCAGCCTTTCAATTAACCAATGAATATACTCAAAAATCAGAATGAATTGACAGTGACTATTTTTGACTAAGGTAGAATTTATATCACTTTGAACATGAAGGTTTAACCTGAATAGAGATAAATACCCAAAAGATTTTTGAAGGGGAAATATTGTATTTTTTATTTGTTGACTTCCCAGGCATTTGAATGATTTTTATTAAAAATTGCAGGGTCAAGGGATCGGCTTTGCTAAATTCAAGCTGAGACAGAGACCATTAGAGAGACAAGATGGTTAATCCTGAAAACCTCAAAAAACACTGTCTCTCACCTAGTTTTACTATAG